CTTTAGAGTTTATGGCTCCATCAGCTGGCCTGCTGTCAGGAATAATTGTCTTGGCTAGAGGTGAAACCACTTGATGGTGAATTTGTTTGTCTGTCTGTTAAAGTGTTGCACAGCACCTTGGAGGTGCCAGGATAAAACCTGCAAATGCCTGATCCAGAGTTAGGTAGGCAGCAAGAGTGACAGAGAGGCAATCATCAAGAATGGAAAATTAAGAAAAAGAGAGAGAGAGAAAAGAAAGAAAAAGAAAGAAAGAGAGAGAGAGAGAGAGAAAGAAAGAACGAACAAACCAAAGAAAGAAAACCATCTGTGCCAGTTGCAAGCTGTATGACCTTGGATAAACCATGATGTCTCTTGGCCTCAGTTTCGTCACGTGCAAAATTAAGGGGTTTGATTTTCTAATGTCTCTTCTAACTCCTAAGACAGCATGTGATGTCTAGGACATTTCAGATTTGTGTTCCTTCCAATTAAATGATACATCTCAGAGATGAATGACCAGGGCAGAGCTCAGATGAATACAAAATGGAATGATTCATGCCCCTGTTCATATGACTTTTCCTGAAAAGTACCACCAGTCTTTGGTGACTTTGATTCCATTGGTTGGTCTCTTCAGCTTAGATGCTAAGGACCAATCCAGTTACTTGTCCATTCTATCTACCCTGGCTCTGGTAATCCACCCTCATTCCTATCAAAGTAAGTGCCACTACACATAATGCCTACTGATTTTGAGTTCCTTAGAGGCAGAAACGATAGGAATTCAAAGAGCGGAGCTGGAGACTCACATTTGACTCTCCTTACCATCTCCCTGGGCATCTTTGTCAAGAAGGAAGGCTTACCCACACTCACTTCCCGCAGGCTTTCTCAGTCATCTTGGAGGATTTTGTTTAAACAGATGACCAACTGACTCTCCCCAGGGCAGACCCTCTCCAGACCAGTTGGCACAAGGTGTGTGTGTGCGGGGGGAGGGGGGGGTGCGGGGAGCTCATTGTAAGGACTCCTATCTATAAATGATTGTGAATAGAAATAATGAGGCAAAGGCTTCTCGTCATATTTAGAGGAAAAAGTGGCACAATTCAGTGCAGTCTCAAAGCTTAATTAGGGATGTGTGTATGGAGACGGGTAGGCTTCATTATGGCTTAAACTACCACATCCCTACACATTCACACTCTCCTGGAGTAGAGTGCACTGCAGGGCCCAGCAATCACCATGAACAGCACAAGTCAGGGTTAGTCCTCCCCATGTCAGACAGCAGAATCGTTCTTTAATCCACCCTGTACCCCATATGTATCTATGGAGCCTGATGAAGCCCCGGAGGGATCTCAGTCAAGTCTCCCTGTACACAGACATACCTTTTTGCCACACCGGATCTCACACCACCGGGACTGGGATGGCTTCCCAAACTAGGTGGGTTTGGAAAGTATTTCCCCCTTCCACCTCAAAAAAGGGCTGGCTGACTGCAGAATTCCAGTACCCGCAAGGCGGGGGGTGGGGGGAGAGACAAAAAATCTTAGCCAAGCCCCAAATCATTGCCTTCCTCTGTCTTCTCTCAAGTTGCTTTTCTAAAGCAAAGGTCCAAATGTTGATGTCTTTGCAGATTCCTACGTATCTCTTACACGTAGACAGTTTTAAAGGAGAAAAGAATATATCCCCAAAAGGGAACGGGGAGAGCACAGAATATTTCAGTTTCTTCCCACTTGGAAATATCTTGTCGTGGATGATGCTACCCCTATCGCCACCTCCCTCCCCCCTCCTTTTTTTTTTTTTTTTTTGAAATATGGACAAAAAAGCTTAAAGTGTTTTCCATTTCATCAAAGAACATATATTACTTTAGTGGTTCGGTAAAATGTTGGTTTTATGCCCACCCCTTTTCAATCTGCCCATGTCTGAGGTGCTCGGGGAAGACGCACAATCGTGAGCAGCTTACGACACTCAGTGAGCAGTAGGTGCCTGTGCAAGCTCGCGCCTCACACTGCCTGGTGGAGAGAAGGAGCCCGGGCGCCGCTCGCCGCTTCCCGCGACGCCGCCCGCACCTCCCCGCCGCCCGCCGCCCGCAAAGCATGAGCGAGCCCGCTCTCTGCAGCTGCCCGGGACGCGAATGGCAGGCTGTCTCCGCGGAGTAAAAGGTGGCGCCGGTCAGTGGTCGTTTCCAATGACGGACATTAACCAGACTGTCAAATCCTGGGGAGTCGCGAGCCCCGAGTTTGGAGTTTTTTCCCCCCACAACGTCACAGTCCGAACTGCAGAGGGAAAGGAAGGCGGCAGGAAGGCGAAGCCCGGGCTCCGGCACGTAGTTGGGAAACTTGCGGGTCCTAGAAGTCGCCTCCCCGCCTCGCCGGCCGCCCTTGCAGCCCCAAGCCGAGCAGCAAAGTGAGACATTGTGCGCCTGCCAGATCCGCCGGCCGCGGACCGGGGCTGCCTCGGAAACACAGAGGGGTCTTCTCTCGCCCTGCATATAATTAGCCTGCACACAAAGGGAGCAGCTGAATGGAGGTTGTCACTCTCTGGAAAAGGGTGGGTAAGACACTTTTTAATTAAATTCTTTCCCGAAGATTTTTTTTCCTCCCTTTTCTTTGCTGCAGCATCTAACATGGACCAAATCACCATCTCTTTGATCTTTCCGTGGCTGTGAACTTTCTATGCTGCCCAGCTTTCTGCATGCTTAGAGGTGAACGTGTGGTTTTTGGGGAGGGGGGTCCTTCTTTATTTCTATGTATTTATTTGATTTTTTGCCCTTTTCTCCTCCTCCCCCGCTCCCCCTCCCTCGGAATAAAATATGATGTAGATTTCTGACCGAGCGCTTCCAATGGACATTCTCCAGTCTCTCTGGAAAGATTCTCGCTAATGGATTTCCTGCTGCTCGGTCTCTGTCTATACTGGCTGCTGAGGAGGCCCTCGGGGGTGGTCTTGTGTCTGCTGGGGGCCTGCTTTCAGATGCTGCCCGCCGCCCCCAGCGGGTGCCCGCAGCTGTGCCGGTGCGAGGGGCGGCTGCTGTACTGCGAGGCGCTCAACCTCACCGAGGCGCCCCACAACCTGTCCGGCCTGCTGGGCTTGTCCCTGCGCTACAACAGCCTCTCGGAGCTGCGCGCCGGCCAGTTCACGGGGTTAATGCAGCTCACGTGGCTCTATCTGGATCACAATCACATCTGCTCGGTGCAGGGGGACGCCTTTCAGAAACTGCGCCGAGTTAAGGAACTCACGCTGAGTTCCAACCAGATCACCCAGCTGCCCAACACCACCTTCCGGCCCATGCCCAACCTGCGCAGCGTGGACCTCTCGTACAACAAGCTGCAGGCACTCGCGCCCGACCTCTTCCACGGGCTGCGGAAGCTCACCACGCTGCATATGCGGGCCAACGCCATCCAGTTTGTGCCCGTGCGCATCTTCCAGGACTGCCGCAGCCTCAAGTTTCTCGACATCGGATACAATCAGCTCAAGAGTCTGGCGCGCAACTCTTTCGCCGGCTTATTTAAGCTCACCGAGCTGCACCTCGAGCACAACGACTTGGTCAAGGTGAACTTCGCCCACTTCCCGCGCCTCATCTCCCTGCACTCGCTCTGCCTGCGGAGGAACAAGGTGGCCATTGTGGTCAGCTCGCTGGACTGGGTTTGGAACCTGGAGAAAATGGACTTGTCGGGCAACGAGATCGAGTACATGGAGCCCCATGTGTTCGAGACCGTGCCGCACCTGCAGTCCCTGCAGCTGGACTCCAACCGCCTCACCTACATCGAGCCCCGGATCCTCAACTCTTGGAAGTCCCTGACAAGCATCACCCTGGCCGGTAACCTGTGGGACTGCGGGCGCAACGTGTGTGCCCTAGCCTCGTGGCTCAGCAACTTCCAGGGGCGCTACGATGGCAACTTGCAGTGCGCCAGCCCGGAGTACGCACAGGGCGAGGACGTCCTGGATGCCGTGTACGCCTTCCACCTGTGCGAGGATGGGGCCGAGCCCACCAGCGGCCACCTGCTCTCGGCCGTCACCAACCGGAGTGATCTGGGGCCCCCTGCCAGCTCGGCCACCACGCTCGCGGATGGCGGGGAGGGGCAGCACGACGGCACATTCGAGCCTGCCACCGTGGCTCTCCCCGGCGGCGAGCACGCCGAGAATGCCGTGCAGATCCACAAGGTGGTCACGGGCACCATGGCCCTCATCTTCTCCTTCCTCATCGTGGTCCTGGTGCTCTACGTGTCCTGGAAGTGTTTCCCAGCCAGCCTCAGGCAGCTCAGACAGTGCTTTGTCACGCAGCGCAGGAAGCAAAAGCAGAAACAGACCATGCATCAGATGGCTGCCATGTCTGCCCAGGAATACTACGTTGATTACAAACCGAACCACATTGAGGGAGCCCTGGTGATCATCAACGAGTATGGCTCGTGTACCTGCCACCAGCAGCCCGCCAGGGAATGCGAGGTGTGATTGTCCCAGTGGCTCTCAACCCATGCGCTACCAAATACGCCTGGGCAGCCGGGATGGGCCGGCGGGCACCAGGCTGGGGTCTCCTTGTCTGTGCTCTGATATGCTCCTTGACTGAAACTTTAAGGGGATCTCTCCCAGAGACTTGACATTTTAGCTTTATTGTGTCTTAAAAACAAAAACGAATTAAAACACAACAAAAAAAATCCCCACCCCACAACCTTCAGGACAGTCTATCTTAAATTTCATATGAGAAACTCCTTCCTCCCTTTGAAGATCTGCCCATATTCAGGAATCTGAGAGTGTAAAAAAGGTACCAATCATTGATTTTTTTTTTTTTTTTTTGTAAACTAAAATGTTTAAAATAAAATAGCATTTACAGTTTTTACAGACTGGTGTAACCTAAATGAATTGTTACTTGTGTTACAAGAAAAGCAACAGTTAAAATTTCCTTGTGGGGTGGCGAGGGGAGTTGTGCAGGGGCCAGAAGGAAATTCCAGGAGCAAAGTAGTCAGATTCATTTTGAAATTTTAAAGAAGGGCCAACAAAGCTTATCAGATTAATGACTTATGTTAATTTACTCCACATGAGTAAGGACTGGAAAAAGAAAAACAGCAAGACCCTTTATATTATTGGGGCAAGGACAGTGCAATCTAACCACCTTCAAGCAAGTGAGAGGTGGACTGAGGACTGGGCATCCTTGCTCAGCCTTTAAAGCAGAGAGCATTGCAAATGGCTTTTAAAAGGCAATGCCAGACAGTTTGTCCTAGGAACACGAAACATTTTTGCACTTAATGTAACCATCTTTCAAATCAACTCAAAATGTAACCATCTTTCAAGTCAACTCAAAATCTCATCCCCAAATGCCACCTGTTCTTAATTCTCCTGAGTCTTTGATTCACCCGACATAGTAGCATTTGTGCCCTTTTTGTACCCCCTGTTAAAGGGAGCCCCTCAGCTCACTGCTCTCTTTGGTCTGGCTGAGGGGAAGGAGGCAGAATCCTGATATTTAGGGCTGAAAGCTGTGCTTCTGGAGCACAGTGCTAAGACTGCAGCACGCTTAGGTTCCCAGACAGTGACAGCACATTCCTAGTTTCTATGGGGAACGAGGAGAAAAGCCTACCTCAGGATGAATGCCTGCAGGGTAATGACTTGTAGCAAGAGACTTTAGGGGCAGAGGTGACAGAGCAGTGATGGGGTGGGGAGAGTGGGAGAAGATAATCATCTGATCCTGTGTTTGCATATTTCTGAGATAGGAATAATTTGTTAAACCAGGACAGAAAAGCTGCCTCTTCTCAGATTGCCCTTTTGTGTAATGCTTGCTTTCCCTATTTCTTTCTTTTTTCTTTTTTCTGTGTTGGGATTGATGATTGCTCCTTCTCATCCCTCATAGGTTTCCAGGTCCATCATTGAGATTTCAGTTTCTATTCAACTAAAGAGTGAGGAAGTGGTGGTAGTGGCAATTGGTGGGTACAGAGAAGGGAAGGGGAAAGCTGTGTGCATTGGATGGAGGGCTCCTTCATCAGATGATAATTTAAGCAAATGTATGATTGAAATAAACTGTGATGGATGACAGATGCTGAACCAGTGCAGCCCACATCCCTAAGTCTTTCTTTTCCCTCTCTGACACTAAAGACTTACATCTTTCTGTTTTTATTTTTCCTTTTTTTTTTTTTTTTGAGAGAGAAGTCCAAATAGCAGGAAGAGGGATGGGGGGATGAGGAACCACACACTACCATCCCCCAAAACGCAAATGTCTCCAGCTACCAATCTTAGGAGGCAAAATCAGCTTTTTGAAATGCAGAATGGTATCACCAGAAGGTTTCCTTAAACTAAGGGTTGGTGGTAGGTTTCTCTTCTACCTATGGAGAAACCAGTATGCCTAAAAATATTGTTTCTAAGAGTCTCTTTCAAGATAAATATTTTGCAAATGTCTTTTAAGATGTTAAGCCCTGGGAGACAGCTTCTTACACACACACACACACACACACACACACACACCCCAACACCCCAGCTCATTTTTCCTGACCAGGAAACTTCATCTTGCTTTATTTATAATTAAAACATGACATTATGACACACATCATGCACATGACACCCATTCAGATTGTTAGTGTTCTAGAAGAGAGGTGCTTTGTTTGATAACTTTGAGGAGGGGGTTTTGAATTTAAGCATAATCATTTGGGTTTGCCTTTCTAAATAGCATACCACTCCGAGAGCAGGGGTAGCAGGAAAAAGATTCTCTCAGGTATGTGCCTTACCTAAAACCCTACTAAAGCGACCTCCTCTAGAAGACAGCATACCTTTTTTAGAAAAAAAAAAAAAAAATTGTAGCAACTGAAGGAGGGCTCCTTGGATTCCGTGAACTTAACCATCTCATAGGAAGGCTACAGGAATCCAGCGCCCAAAGCTGCTCTGGCTTGGTGCAATAAAGAGCTGTGTGGGTGTGCTTATAGGGAAAGCTTTCAGAAGCAAAACCTTCCTGGCAAGCATCAGAACCACAAGTCCCCTCCTACCCTCTAGAAATCTGAATATTGGAAACTGTAGTTTCTCTCCTATTGCCAAGACATTTTTATCTTTCACTCTTCTTGTTTCAAGGTGGCCATAAGAAAGAGAGAGAATAATCGTGCTTTGTTTTATGCTACTCCACCCACCCTGCCCATGATTAAATATCATATATGTAGAAGATCTTAAATCTATGCATATTTCATGAAGAACCATTGGAAAGAGGAATCTGCAATCTGGGAGCTTAAGAGCAAATGATGACCATAGAAAGCTATGTTCTTACTTTGTGTGTGTGTCTGTATGTTTCTGTGTTGTGTGTCTTTGTAGGCAAACAAATGTTGTCTACACAAACAGGAATTTAGCTCACATCATTTCATGTCCCTGTGACTCTAGCTCTGGAGATTGGTGGGGGGAGGGGGAAGGGGAAAAGGCAGGAATAAGGGAAAGTGGTAGTTTTAACTAAGGTTTTGTAACATTTGAAATCTATTCTTTCTCAAATTAATTAATCTTTAAGCTTCGAGAAACTTGCTCTGACCCCTCTAAGCAAACTACTAAGCATTTAAAAGAGAGTCTGATTTTTAAAGGTGTAGCACCTTTTTTTATTCTTCCCACAGAGGGTGCTAATCTCATTATCCTGTGCTATCTGAAAAGAACTTTAGGCCACAATTCACGTCTCATCCTGAGCATTGTGATGGATTGACCCTCCATTTGCAGTACCTTCCCAGCTGATTAAAGTTCAGCAGTGATATTGAGGGTTTTCGAATATTTATATAGAAAAAAAGTCTTTTCACATGACAAATGACACTCTCACATCAGTCTTAGCCCTAGTAGATTTTTAAGGTTGGACCAGAGGCAGCAGATTAAATGAGACCTGTCCTTTGCTGTATTCAGAAAAAAAAGGCAGTCGCTATGCTCAGTTCGTAGCCTTGCTATTAATAGTTGAGACCACCTACCCGCAATGCAGCCCATACTCCCAAGACTACAAAGTTGCCATCACAAAGAAAAGGTTATTCCAGTAAAAGGAAATAATTTTCTAAACAATGTAAAAATATTCTTCTGAACTTATCAAAGTATAAGAGTGCCCTGCCTTTTCTCTCTGCTTTCAAGAAGGCAGACATTTGGTATGATTTAGCATCAACAACACATTTATGAGTGTGTGTAAGCAATCAGAGGGGCAAATGCCACTTGTTATTCCTCCCAAGTTTTCCAAGCAAGTACACACAGATCTCTGGTAGGATTAGGGGCCACTTGTGTTTCTGGCTTATTTTAGTCGACTTGTCAGCAAGTTTGATGCTTAGTCTATCTGACATGGCCCAGTAGAAGAGGGCATTGATGGATCACATGAGATGGTAAAAGAAACATCATCACATACCCCTCTCACAGAGAAAATTATCAAAGAACCAGAAATTATATCTGTTTTGGAGCAAAAGTATCATAATGTTTCAGGCTAGTCAAACATCAATCATCTCCTCTAGATGAGTGGTGATGTTGGTTGATTTGGATCTGCCATTGACAGAATGTCAAATAAAAAGGAATTAGCTAGCATATGACCATTAAATAGGCTTCTGAAATATATACACACACTCCTACCTCTCAGTCTATCTCTGTATATATAACAGCACACACACAAACATGCACACACACATATGTGTGTGTATATACATATATATGTATAAAACCACATATAACCACACACACATACATATATAACCATACACACACACACACACACGTGCAGGCAGGTGACCACATTATGTAACTACCTTCTAGCACTAATTACCCTAATACTTTCTTCTTCATAATCAAACTTTTATTCAGGAGAGGATCTCATAAAATAAGTGACAGTTAAGATATAAAGGACTGATATGGCTGATGGTATTTTCAGGCATTAATGAGTAGGTAGATGCTTTGCAGGCTAGGGAACTTCTGGGCTCCTTATGCCACAGCAGAGTGTAACCTGCTGTCTAGTGGGAAGAGCCAGCAAATGGGAATATATTTTTTGAGAGTATTTTCCACCTCAGGGTTAAGAAATATATTTTTCCACTAAAGAATGCTCTACTCTGATTTTTTTTTTTTCTTTTCTGGGATTCAGGAGGCAAAATTCTTACTTCTGATTGGGCACCATCTCCTGGCCTTGCTCAACTGGACACAATTTCTGAAGACCTTTGCTTTTTTACTCCAAGTAAAGGGACTGGCTATTGCATTCTTACAGTTTAGACAAAGATATAAATGAGATGGAGAAATACAATTTACTGAGCAGTCACTAGTACGGTGCCTTTATCTAGATCACAATAAGTGAGGGAGGTGCCAGCAACCTTATCTTCACATGAAGAACTTGAGGCTTACAGAGGTCAGGTATGTTGTGCAAAGTCACCCAGCTAGTGATTGGAAGCACTGTGATGTGCTGATTGACTTGGTGGCCTTTTCACTACACCCTGTTTCTTTATTCCTTGAATGGTTGCCCCTCCACCCCTGCACATAACAAAGAGCCTAGAATTAGACTAGGAACAGGACACATGCTCAACACATTCTTGTTGAATGCCATGGGCACAATGCTGAAATCCAGGAATTCTGACCATGACTTGTTTGCTCTGGTCACTGGTAATAGGGCAACGCAGGACTCTGCCAATAGAGGAGACTTCTCCAGGGTTCCAGGAGAAGAAATGGCCAGTACATTCAGTCCAACCCCTTAAAATAGGATTTTAGATTCAGAGAGAGTAAAGTATAGACATCCATATGTTATTGTCAGGGATTTATCTGCATTTCTTCCTTCGTGATTAAATGGATCATGTGTCTATGGTAATGGTTCTCAACCAGGGGCAAATTTGCCACCCAGTGGACATTTACTTGTTTGTGTCTGGAGACATTTTACATTTTTATG